AAACAATTACACTGTTCTGTCAGAGTTGACTTTAAAAGGTTTTTAAAAGTATTAAAAGGTGGAAGTGACTGACAATAAGTGAATGAATGAATGTTTCCATGACAACTGTTACCCTTCCAGTAATCCGTGGTATCGCCTAATTTCCACACAATCAGTACAGATCTGTCTTTACTACATAGCTGACACATCATTAATTACATCCTTGACTTCAATGTTTGATGCTATTTGTGGTTTTTAATCACTCATAATTAATTTATAATGAATTTCAAAACCTAAAACATATTTAGGGACGACTAAATCCTGATTTATAATTTCCCACCTTGTAATTTCAGGCCAACACTACAGATTTGCTGCAGTTAAATTGGCCACTATATTGAGCGTGGGTTTCTTAATTAACTTTTAATCCCATGATGGAATTAAACATTTGGTTTAGAAATACATTTAAAAACCAACCAGACAGGATTTCAACATGTCCTCTTAAACCCACTTATATCTAAATCCTTTTCTTGACAGGTTTGAACATTACCCAACTGTCCATTTGTAGAGCTATCTCCTGGTTCAACTTTAACCTACAATGCAATGTACTTTACAATGAAATAGACAAATGGACATTAAAGATAGTACAACTTAAGTTTCTCTCATGAATAACTGATTAATAATTGGCTTTTAGTGGAAATGTATTTGATGGTATCCATTGTTCATCTGTTTCTGATGATGTCGCATTTCAAGATCTCAGCAAGGAAATTTAAAATGGATTGTACCCAGAAAAAAAATGAGTACACTGATAATCAAACTGAACTGCCCTGTCTTTTAACTGAAATTATTATTTCTATATTTTGTTAGAACAAGTGAACACATTGGAGATGTGGGCTGATTCAAAGGTCTGGCACTGGGCTGGAAAATTTCCTTTACATGGCCTTGGTCTGCTCTCTAGGGAAACAGTACAGCACCAACAACATTAAATGAGCTGGTCTGGGTTCAGTGTCATGGCAGCGCTCAGTGGCGGGACTTACATGTGGCGTCATGTGAACACTGGACAGGCGGTGCAGGCTGAAGATGTAGCCGTCCTGCCGGTCTTGGTTGATCTTAGTGAGAGCCAGTCCTGCAGCGCCCATCGCTGCTGCGTCATCACATGACCCCTGCTCCATGCCAGCCTGGTCCACCGGAGCACCGTGGACGTGCATGCACCCCAACGCCAGCAGCAACGGCAATAGCACACAGTGCATCATGGTAAAGGCCTGGGATTACTCTGTCTCTCAAACACACTCACACTCACACACTCTGGTAGGACAGATGTGATGACATGAGGGATATGGTGACCTTTTATATTCTGTTACTGTTTACTATAAGCACACCCACTCTCTTTCTCTCTCTCTCTCTCTCTCTCCCACACACACACCCACACATTGTCACAAACCTTACTGACCTTCATGTCATCATAGGTAAATATAACCATTGACCCACACCCCTTCTCGGCCCCAGTAATGCCACATCAGTGTATCTATCTGCCAACCAATCAACTACTGTACAGACTTGCACAATGGAGCTTATCAGTCGGGAGTTAATCAGCCCTACAGTCAAGCTCTCTTCTCTGGGATCAATAGGGACAGTCTGTGGACTGGAAGTCACTTGATCCACTCTTTAGGCTAAATCTTTGTACAGTAGTCATAATCAAAAAGTTAAAGAATGATGTCAATAATGAAACAGAAGTCTATTCAAACATACTGCTCATTATGCAGCTGAACCAACTGACCAAAGCAGTATCAGGTCAGCATTGTCATCATCAAATACATTTACACCTCCTGCAGCAGAAAGCTATGTAGCTGTAGTGACCTCAGATTTTCCACTGACTGTGGCATTTCTGTGAGGTTAAAGGGGAATTTTAAAGGTCCAGTGTGTGACATTTAGGATGACCTATTGGCAGAAATGGAAGATAATATGGTTATTTATTTATGCATAATCATGCATATTTATTTATGTTTTTATTGAATTGATTTTTAACTAGAGAGGGACAAGGTCCTCTTCTATGGAGGCTGCAATATTGAACCACCATGTTTCAACTGTAGCCAAGAATAGACAAACCAAACACTGGCTCTAAATAGGGCCATTCGCATTTTTTGTGAGTTTCGTGGCTACTTTCGTAGTTTCTCCTACATGCTTGGAAGGCTGAGCTTTTATTCACATGGTTGAAATCTGCAATTTCACCACTAGATGCCATCGAATACTACACACTGGTCCTTTAAGGTTTTAAATTAAAATCTCCACTATTAGAAACTTGTGTGAGAAAACAGAAGCAGTGCAAGATGACATGCTGCTTCAGTAGATAGAAACGGTTCATTCTAAGGTAACAAAAACACAATGATTCTAAGGTGATTATTACACTAATAAAAACAGCTATTCATATTTTATTCTGTCAATAGATTCTCTTAAATGTTATACAGTAGAGTATTTCTACATTAATGGTGTTTTCCTTCAGTAAAGGATCTTATTACTTCTTCCACCACTGCATATTTCCCTGGTAGATCACCACACAAACCATTTATTTACTGTATGTCCAAGAGCAATCTTTCTTTGGTCTTGTAGCTGCCTGTAGTAGTGTGATGTTTGCAATTCAGCAAAAAGTAAGGGTATACTTCTGACCCCAATCTTTCGCTGCCTTTCCTTAATCAAGTATTTTCAATGCTCAACTTTAATTTGCAACTGAACTTTGACTTATTTGAAATATTACATCACTGAATGTCATGCCAGAGTTTGCAGAGAATTAACAATTTGTTTTGCAAATGAGTTTCACTCTCATTCCCTAATTTGTTAGTTAGTTCTTTAGACTGTTTGAAGGAGGCTGTGGGGAACATTCCTGAACTTTGAATCAATTCTAAATATTTTGCTTCAGATCAGCAGTTGTACTGAGGGGGAAAGAGATGGTGCAGTCACTGCAGTGATAGTGAAACATGTAACCTTTGTCTTTGCAGAATAAACACTCCTCAGAATCAACAGGTTAAAAATCGATATTTCTTGTGCAGCTGCTGTGTTGCAACTTCTATCAGGTACACTTATATAATACACAGAATGGCTGGGATATGAAAGCGCATACATACCAATCTGAATAAAGGGGCATGGCAAAGCACAGATCCAGCAGGACGGATTCAAGAAATGTGAATTATTGTGAACATGGTGTTTCTCCGTCATGAACTGGATTATTGAAGAATATCACAAACTAAATAATTTTTTTTCCTAATGGTTACACTAATAAGTGAAACACAGAGTTACAAAACAGAGTTAAGATCGAGCAACCAAAACAAGTAAAACTTACAATGTGCAGACATAACCCTGCCTGAAATGCACAAACCATGGGTCAATGTGTCAACAGGCACTGATCTTGTTGTTTCAAAGAAAAACAAACATAACACAGTTCTAATTCAAGCTGCAAGCATAAATACAACTCCAGATATTCAAGCTCATGCAAGGAAATGCTGTATGCCAAACATACTCTTTTTACAATGTACAAGTTCAAATTAAAGACCCAGTGCATAATTTTTTGTTACTTTAGAATGAGCATTGCCATGAATAGACAAACCAAACACTGGCTCTGGATAGTGCCTTTTTTCCACTTTCACCACTTACTACATTTATTTGACAGATTAGGATTTAAAAAACCTCAAATGGCCATATAAAATATGATGCATTGTTATAAAAAAAATTAAAGTGCGGCTAATTGCTTAACGATTGAATACTTCTTCTACCACCTATCTGGACAAACTTTTGGATGTTATGAATATTACAGACATAAATGGACCCCCAGGGTAAAAATTCCACTTGTCCAACACTTTATGACAGGATACCACTAAAGGTGAATTCCCATCAGCCTTAGAGAATAATGTTATATAGATCATGACCTTGGATTAAAGAGGGACTCCACCAACTGTAAATGTCAATTTAACAGTCACAGGGAAGGCTATTTAGCCTGTAAAGGCCGTTTTTTGTGGCAGTTGTGTGCCCTCTGTGGCCTTACATCACATTCATTTAGCAGATACTTTTGTCCAAAGCAACACTTAAAATAAGTACATTCAACTTCTATGAACAGGAACTGGATGTCACCCAAGTCAAGTATAAGAACATAACACAGAAACACAAGAAGCCCTGTGGGCATGGTATTTGATAGACATTGCATTATACGTCTGTATCTGTTAGATCTTCCCTGACTGGAAAATTCCAGAGTTGCATTGTTATGAGTGGAGATTCATTAGGCAAAATCAAGTTTTATCATCAGCATACTATCAACACAACATCATAATGCGTACATATGCAATATTACAAAATTCCAGCTGTGAGGTGAAACTAATAAATTCAGCCTAATAAAGTGAATACACAAAATCAACTCTTTTGATTTAAGTAACAACACAGCCTTTCCCCTTCTGTCCAAACGTTACTTTTTCGCCTCAAAAGCATCAAGAACTTAAGAATAACAAAGCTGCTATTTTCTCATTTTTCATCCATCAACAATTTTCTTTCTCTGGCCAGAGAGGAAGGGGCATGACTCCTCTGATGTGACACTTTTTAAAACTGTATTTAACCAGGACATGTCTTTGTGAGTGTGTGCTCTCTGCCCTTTTCAGAGGTATAGAGCAACCGCCTCTGACTGTCCTTCTTGTTCTACTATCTTTTCCAGATAAAGATAGAAGTAAGATTAAAGTTTTGGCTTTGAAACCAAGAAGACATATTGCTTGGCCTGTGAGTGACTCATCAGGTGTAGGATTTAGACTGTTTGCAAATACACGCATACAATGATGACAGCATATGTAAAGGTCATAAAGATGAGGTTGAAAATTAGCCAAGTGTTCCTCTCACTTCCTAGAAATACTGTGTCAGTTCTTGTGAATTTACTCTGAGTGTACACTGTCCTATATAAGACACAAGGTGGTGCTACAGTATATTGCAACGTCAAACCAAAAACTGATGCTTGGTTTAACTCACACATGGAGGTACTTTGAATGTTTACAGTGTTCTGAGGTAATGCTACAGTGGACTTTTGACTTTACTATAAATACATTTAGAATTAATGAAAATATACCCAGTATGTTGAGAGAAGAGATTAAAACACATGTACATATGATACCAAATGAATTTTAAGCAAAAATATACCCTGTATATACAGACAAACAGACTAAATTATCACCAAATGTAACACTATTCCACTGCACATGTATCAGTGACCCCCTTCAGAACATCTACAGAACAGAGACCGATCTCTGACGTCACCAGCTGGTTGATTTATCAACAGTGATATATTAGAGGGCTGTAACCAGTGCAGGAGGAAAGGAATGAGTTAAGGTGGAAATGGGGAACAACTGTGGCTCTTGCCTGAGGGTTGTGACTGAGAAACAGTTCATCTCATCTGACTTTCAGGTCTTCCTGTGTGGGAGTATATAAAAACCACCACAGTGTGCCTCAGACCTGAAAGCGGAAAACTTCGGTCCATCATCATTTCCCCGACTCATCTACTGCCCAGTCTGGTTTTGCGCAATACATTTTTGAACTCCTGCTACAAAACTTCCTCTGACTTTGCCCCCAAAAATGTAAATTATGAAAAAAAAAATTAACTGTGATGAAATATTACAAATGACGAAAACCGCCTGAAAACTGAATTCTTATTTTCTTGTAAAGGAAGATGTGACTCAGATTACAGGGGTGGTACTCTTCTCGAAACTCATAATTTAATATATTTGAGACATACTGTAGAGTTTCAGATGAATCTATTCCTGTTATCAGACATGCTTTGGTGCACAAATCGGTCCTCTGCCCCCTCATTCCCATTAACAAAACATTTTTTTTCAAAACACATGACTACTCACGTTTCCTAAGCAAATAATGATTTGTGATGTGATTAATCAAACTAGTTCGCTCACTACCGCTATTATAAGTGGTAACACATGATAAGGTAGCCTGTTTAAAGACAATATTGGACAAGGAGGAAGTGAACAACAACCCATTATTTTCCACTGAAAGTGCACTGACTTACCAATTCAGAACAGTAATGTTTCATTAGTTTGTAGTCAGTTTATTTCATGGTTAGGCAAATATAACCAGATAATTAATTAGTGTGAAGCTTCAGTGTTGTTGCTATGGTAATGTGCAATTTAATACACCTTGTGGAATGATGTGGAACACTTATTAGTGTTGACCAAAAGTGTTTGTGAACAGACGGCTGACCACCATGAGGAGTATTTCACACATCATATGTATAATGTGGGGTTTAGGTGAATTTATTTTAATAAACTGAGCT